CTTTTTTAGACGCAAGAAAACTTATACATACCAAACGGAGATTGTGTTGAATCTAATTGTGGTTGTTGTTGTTCAGCTTGTTGTTGAGTACTAGATTCCGATTCTTGTTGTTGATTGGCGTCATCAGTATTAGCTTCATTTGTTTCTGCTTGCGTAGGTGTACTTGCAGATTCTACATTTTCTTCATTACCATTATTATTATTTGCATTACGACCATGTAAACTAATGTGAGCCTGGTAGAAACATGATATAAAATAATTTTATTACACCTGGAACAAAATTTAAATACTATTGTTATTCATCCTCACCTCTACCTGGATTGGTATACCGGGCTGCAAAATAGTTGAATGTTGAATAATAATTGGTCTACATCGTAAGTTCCTGGGCGGTTGTTGACTCATATCAACAATTATGTCACTTAAAGCATGACAGGCATGTGACATATAATGCAAGCATTCGCTTACACCATTCACAAATGTTTGAGTTTCTTCAATGCGTCTTTCCTAAACATAAATGATTTTTTCATTTCAAATTACTCACATCCATATTTATGAACATTATTTACTTACACCTGGATGTAATGAAGGATCATCACGCATAAGTTTACAATAACGTTCTGTATGAGGTCGTAAACGAGATTGTGTATCAATTAATAGGTCCAATAATTCTGCCAATTGTGGAGGTCGTGGAAGTCTAAAAATAATAGATTTATGAATTATGTAATAGAACATCATATTATACATATATAACTATACAGGATCCCTACTGTGGTGATGGTCGTCGATTAGATTGTTCGTCATTATTTGATGTAGAACCTTGTTGTTCAGATTGTGGTTGTTGTGGCTGTTGTGTATCTGCTTGATTCTCCTCATTAGTTTCATTTGCTGGTCTTGATTCAGCATTTTCATCATTGTTTCCTATGTTCATAGTTAACAGTTATATGTAATAATTTATACTCAATCTTTTTATTCTTAATACGTTTTATATACAAACCCCTAAGTAATGTAACGTTGTTTGCACCAACTGCAGATAAGGCAGCTGCTATTGCAGCTGCAGCAGCCTCTGCCAACCGGGCACCACCATTTGTTGCATTTTCATTATTACTGAAAAGGCTAAATAATTTATCAATTTATTTTACTCCTTTCCACAGTAATTACTAAATTTCTTTTTTCTTTTACTTACAACTGTTCTGTATCCAACTCTGACTCCTGCATGAGTTGACTAAATGGTGGTCGATTACTTTCAGATGCAGGGAGATTTGCGGAATTAGAGGGGCTCTCGAGTCGATCCATAAGACGATTTGCGCGTTCAAGCATGTGTCTTGCAGCAATTAATCGACCATTAGATAAGCTGTTGCTGAATTGAGGTACTGGCAACCCTTTTAAATGAAATAAAACAACTCTAAGAAAAAATCTCTGTAGAAAAAATATAAGTAAAATAATGAAAAAATCCGAAAATTTTGAAATTATATATTATATCAGACATATATTAGATCTAATACCATGTCCTTCCACAATTTCAGCTGGTACTGACATTGCACCCAAATACATAGCATTACCATGCATTTGAGCACGAGTGAGTCGGTAATGTGTTCTTTGTGGATTTTGCCACATTTGTGATCCATGATTCTGACCTTGACTTTGGCCTCCGTCATTTCCACGTTGACCAGGTTGAGGTGGTGCACGTTGTACCAAATGTATAACTTTTCCATTAACATCTAAATTGTAAAATAATTTAAATCAATAATGTCCTTTACTTTATATTTGTAAATGTAATACAAACTTCTTTACCATAATCATTTAATTTTTTCTCATCTTGAAGAACTCTACCGCAATAAATAAGTCTTTGTGAATCTGCTGGTACTGCCACTGTTTCTGCTATATATTCTTTGAAACCTCGAACTGTAATTTGCTATATAAAAAATCTAAGTCATTTTTTCTCTTTTAGTCTTTTGCAATTTTTACTTTAATACCATACAACAACAGTTTATAGTGACAGTTCCAAATCTATTAAGAAATACTGTCTTGATATAATTATACAAAAACATTAAAGTATATTTCATATTAATATTTCACATTCATCAGTATTGTTACATCATGGTTGATATTTCCAATTATTTCTACCAATAGTATAATATTATTTACATTAGGAATATGAGATATATAAAGAAGATATTATAATTTTATGTAGTATTATATTTATATTCATTATACAACAATGTTCTTAAATCTAATAATAGATACCAAAGTTATCAAAAATTTGGTATAAGAATTAGAAGACTATAAATCATAAAATATTTACAGAAATAACCTCAAAATAATGTCGCTATAAAATAACAATGACTAGTGAATATTCTAAATGAAAAAAATTCACATCTATAATAATTATTCCTAACGTATAGTATAGAATAATATAAAAATAGAAATATGAGTAAGTACATAAATAATCATGAAGCATGCTATTAAAAGCATTACAATCAACAATAATGTTAATTATAAACATAGAGAATAGAAATTCTTTATATGAAAATGGCAAAAAAAATTACTTACATCGTCTTCCAAGGAGAAAGTATGATTTTGTGAATCCAAAGTCTTTACCGTAAGGTCAATCATTGTTAGACTGCTTTAACAGCTACAGTAGAACTGAAATTCGAGAAAATGAACAATAGTATTAGGGCGAAGGTGCGTAATACAGAATCGACTTCTACACTCACGCAGGCACGTAGATACAAGACTGTAAACGACACTTGATTACTACCGAGGAGAAATATTCGATATCTAAAGTACGAAAAAATAGTTAATCCTAATACAAATCGACTCGAAGATATAAAGAAGCTACATAAATAGATCCTAAAACTATGTTCTTATCGTATAATGGTTTTTTTTAATCAACCCACCGATGAAATTTTACAGTAACGATATGACACGATACACGTTATTTTACCCAGAATTCGCTGTAACAGCGACCCCACAAGCGTTGCCAATACATTGGTTCAATTATTCCCTAGATAGAACACGATTCAGAATTGATAAAAATCATATTTCTGCAGTACCTACCTATCTTGATATTCCCCCGATATCTGCTAGATGACACCAGCAAGGTAAACAAACGACAAAATACGAATCAATTACTGGTCTCATCGATTTGAATTAACGTATCATAAATTAACACCAACTTTGATCATAAAATAACTCGTTAGTGAAGAATAATGACAAAAAAGTACATATGTGTTAAAAGTTTTGGTACTATATATTAAATTAATACTATATTGTCTAAACAAGGTGTTTATACAAAATATCTTGCGTGTAAGTTATCTGCATTGTATATTTGGTATTTTCTTCTTAAAAATAATAATCTTGTCGATAAATGAAATTATCCCTGACGGTTTTCTTTTATAGATGCTTACATGATTCGATTGATATTCACACATTACACTACAAATACAGAAGAAAAATATTTGAATCTAAACGTTTTATTTCTGCCAGCTCGAAACATAGAGAGGAAGTTGAAAGAAAAAAGAATGGTATTGTCGCAGTAATCATTTACGTCTTACAGAATCTCCCAAATGCATGTTACGAATTCATTTACTTTCGATCGTGTTTGTACCTTAAGGTGTCGCTTTGAGACGCGAGGTCGAAGAATATCGAACATTCGAAACATCTGTATTGATCTGTAACCAGTAACACCGATCTTCTGTATCTTGTCGCAGTCAGATGAAAATAATTCGAGCGTTACCAACGGATACATATCGAAAGCGAGGCATCGCCTCGCCATGGACTTCGCGTGATCCGACACGAAGATGAAAAAGAGAAGCAGAGAAGACTCATGGCAAGCCGATCGCATTATTCAGATTAGGGCATCGACTGAGCCACGCGAGTATGCGAGTACGCGCGTTTCTTTGTATGCGTATACACGTGTACATACTTATATCGGTGGAAGATAATACGGTCGATCGTGCACCACAGAAGAATGTTAATGGTGCTTCAGTTTTGTATGCAGGAAGTGACGGCGCGTCCCGTCTCATACCGTAGCGGGTCCCGGCGCCCCAACGTCCGAGCAGAAAAAGGCACAATAAGACTAATAGAAGTGAAAAACCAAGAGATTCACCCGTTCCCGTGTTGGAGGAAGGAAAGAGAGATGCTCCTTTAAATCCCATCATAAACACACATAGCCAGAGGCTCTCAACATTCCTCAAAAATCGTATATTTACACGAACTATCGTAATTTTCAATCCTCAATTTGGTAAGCTTGATATCTTCGATCCGACGCTTTTGTGATCTATATGTGATTATGGTAAGATTTGGCTACCAGGGATTAACGCACAAATGGTTTTAATATTATACCTTTTATGACTAAAATATGCTTAGATTGACCAATCATCGGTGATTCTATAGAGAGGAAAATTTCTTATACTTGTTTGTCTTAATCGCAGAAACTTGCGATTTTCTATTTTGTCATTTCCATAAAATTAGCGGCGGCGAATGTGTTGATGGAATATTTCTAAATAATACCGTATGGTTCGTGTCACCTGATTATGTAGTTAGTGCATTTAATTATAGCAATATGAGCTTAATGTATTTGGTTAACGCATTTCTTGGATCGAGAATGAAGACCGCTGCATCAATGCAGTGACAGAAAAAGTAAGGGTTATATGTTGGCCCTATGGAACAAGAAATAAACAGGCGCCAGCCAAAGTTGCAGCTTCGTAATGATGTAGCTATCTCGATTTAACATGCCTCGCGGTCTTGCCCGTTAGTACATACTTAACTTGCTTTACTAGTGTGAGCTTCGCCGTTCTTAGCATAACTTAACCCGGCTCCGTTTCCTTTACTGCTAATAATAATGATAGAATGAAACGAGAGGCGACGAAGAAACGAAAAGGAACATTGTCCAAGTGAGAGGAAATACAGGAAGGAAACGAAGAATACAGAAAAAGAGGGTATTGTCAACGAAACAAGAGTTCTTATGATATATAAAATCGAAATAAAACGAACTGATCTTTAGGACTAATACTTGAAACTCATCAAGTACCAAGATTGTCATTCAAATCATGTTGTTGCTGTTCGATATGTACCGATTTCGCTAGCACTCGACACGAGCGATATTAAAGTACATATCTGTTTGATTAATAGTTACGGCGATTCATCAAGTCAAGAGTATATACATGCACACATGTACACGTATCATCATCTATGCACGTATCTGGACACGCATACGCAGATAGAACTGGCATGCTCCACATAGATACTGGTTTGAAACGAATCCTACAAAGAATTCAAAATACCAACTTAGCATTGACTATCTCGCGCTACCTTAATGCTTTTATATCCTCTAAACTGCTACTGGCTACTGCCTTCTTTCTCATCCTCTTTCTTCCTTCCAGTCGTTCCTCTTTCACGACAAGAAAACGAGGAGTTCGCGTGCGTGTCTTGAAGCTATGCAACAGGGAGAGATCCAGGGAAGCTGGTACGAGAGATAAACCAATACCGAGGCCGGTAGCGAGCAGTGCGTGACACGTTGAACCGTGTGTACTGTGTGTGTTGGCGCCAGGCCGCATTCTCGCATTCGTTAACTAACACATCGAGTTAAGTCCCTCCGCAGCTCGTGCCTTGTTCTCCCTCGCCTTCCCCTACCTCCATCATCTCCACCTCCTCCTCACCAACCCTCTACCCCGTCCCGGGAACCCTTCGCGATATTAAGAGCGGTCACGGATCCCAAATTTGCCATCCGTAGAGAGGCGGGACACCGATTTGTCCTCGTCCCGTTTGCACGCCACCGGTACGTGGTAAGATGACCGGTTTCTACTGGTGTACATCGGTCGCCAATCGTGTTTCGGAACAAAGTGGTTCTCCAGAGGAGACTACATCCGTGTCCAGCTATCGAAACTTATTGTCTCGGGTGATTATCAATCGTGATATCGTTTCATCCTTGAAACCCGATGACGCACGTTGATCGACTCCGAAGACGGAGTTACGGTAGAGTATATTAAACAATAAAACGCCAACTGCCTCGCTTATTCGTTGTATATTTTATGCGCAACTTCTTCCACTTCTTCAAGTATTTTCTCGTTTATCTTTGTGGTCAAGGCGAGTTCCATTTAAAAAAGCTTCTTCGACAGATATTCATGGGACATTAACGATACGAAGCGGGGACACGGAGTCGTGCCCAGAAGTTCCTTTCTTCTCTCATCGAGGAAAAGCGCGATGATGCATCGTGTCAATGGAATTCATAGAAACCGGTCGGTGAAAACGCGAGCCGCGCGGATCGTGAGATTGTATTTACTGTCGCTTCAATGATCCACGGAGAGACGACCGTCGAGGTCGGTAATTAATCTGTATCAGTTTACAATGAACGAAAGAGAGCGTTGAAAGATCGCTTGTAATCAATATTAATTACTAATCAATAAGCGAAGTGAATCACGAATTGAGGAATTTTTCCCGTTTAGTAAAAATTGTTGATTTAATGGCATAAAAATGAATAAGTTGATGACAAATTAAAACATCAATTAAAGTATTGCGTAATTTTATAGCGCAGCGGATAAGGAGCTTCGAGAGACGATAAAAGAATCGAACGTTATCGCACGAATTAGTGACGGTTATTGTACCTGAGATGCTATTGCAGGGAACCAGTGGCAGGACCGTGGACCGCGTTAAACATCGTGTAAAAGGTGAGAGGCGTGTACCAAGTTGATATATATATTGTTAGTCGTATCGATTTCTCGCCGTGTCTACGTTTACAAAGATCTGTAGCTTGACAGTGAAAACGATAACGGAGAATGACGAAAACGACGAAGAGAGGATGGAGAATTTCAACGGATTAACATTCCAGCAGCGTTCCTAACCACTTCGAAATTCATCGTGACAACGCGAACGATAAGAAGAATCTATAAGAAGAATCAGGCGAAGCTTTTTAATGGTTTTTGATCAGCTCGAAGTCTACCTTGTCACCAAACACGATAAGAGATACAACGATGTTAACAATGGTAAAAAATGACGAGTATCACTGACTTTATTAAATGTGTATTCTAGATGCGTTTTTTGATGGTTTGTTCGTGAACGTTTGACGCGCAGAGGCAGTATACGTATAGGATGATAATAAAAAATGTAAGTTTCACCGAATCAACGTTCCAAGAACATTCTTATTAATTCATCTACCTGGAAATACGTTGTGACAACTAAAATGAGTAGCACGAAGATTTCAGCCATGTCGTCCCACGATTTTCATATATCAAGCTTCAACGCGACAATAGCACGGTAATAATAAGAATGAGAAGAAGCATAAAGAAAAAGAACGGTGAAGATCTACAAGTTTCATCGAACCAACATTCCAAGAGCGTTCTTGGCAGTTCACCTACCTCAAAATCCATTCTCCCTCTCTCCTGAGATACCTATGGCGCTTAGCCACGATCTCCAAAGCGTGATTCGAAGGAAAGGGTGCGATCTTACCGCGTTGACAGTATCACAGGTAAAAGAAGAAAGTGAGAAAATAAAAAAACGAAGATATGCAATAATAAGAGAGGAGTGGCATAACTCGCACATAATGCGTCGCAATTAACCCCCCTCGCTTACATGTAATTTTAATAAGTACGCGTTACGGTATGTATAAATTTGCATAGGCACACAGAACGTAATAAGCACCTGGAATTAATGTTATCGCGCGCGAGGCAGTAGCCGGGATTAAAAATGTGTCCGAGCGTTTGCATGGATGAGAGAACGGTCGTGGTCCGGTCATGGACCAAAAGAAATGCAAAAGGAAACTCGAATATATGTATAAAATTCGTGTTGCGATAGCACGTTTACATCGTTTAACATGTACCATATATTTGACTCGATTGTTAAATAATCATCAAGATACAGTATGATGTGACTTTGCTTTCAAGGTATCAACCGTTTATGAAGTCCGAGTGTCGGTCGTACGTGTCGTCTACTAGCTGCTACAACAGAGGAAGAAAGATGACAAGGAAAAGAGAGAGAGGAAAAGAGATAAACAAGCAGAAGACAAGGAGAGTAAGAATAAAAGAAAGAGAGGGATCTACGAGCGAATTATCTGGTATTTTCTTTCAGCCTGCGGACGGCTAAGCAAAGGTCAAAAGTTGAGCAATGCTATCCTTATCGATGCAAACACCGCCTTCGCATATGCAGTGCGCAAGCATCGAGAGATTGGCGGGACTTCTTGCCTTCTCGCGTGAAAACGTTCACGCTAGTCACGCTGGTGCCATTGTCGAAGAAAATCTTGATCGCGTGCCGCACCAATTTTTCTCCCTGATTTCCGCTTTGCCGTGACACTTTCGAGAGGCTTTACCGTTGCTACTTATATATCGACGAATTACTTTCAGTGAATCGTCCAGAGAAGAGAACGATATCGAGATACTCGTGAATCATAGAGCAGGTTATAGGAAGCACCCGATTATTAGAATCGTTAAAGATGTATCACGAACGAGAAGACTTATTGCGAGGATCTTGTGAACCCTCGAGACTCGTGCTCGATAGAAACCGCACGACGAAATTAAGGGAGCACGCATGGTTGTTTCACGTGCGGAACTTCCGGTTGCTGATCCGTGCGAACACACACAAGCGACAAATAGATTGACGATTGCCGATAAAAAGATAGAAACGGATGGAAAGCGAGAGAAGGGGCAAAAGAGGAGAGACTCGAGTCGGTGTACACACATAATGTACGAGTCCTGAGAGGAGTCGGAGTCCCTCCCGGAGGCGCGGC